AACTGTCAAAAGATCACAGAGAAGATCACACTTTTCAAAATTGCAATCTATTAAATGCCACCTAAAAATCAATTCTGCAATTACTGTAAAGAAGAAAAATTCTCAACATTTAGAAATGTTACTGAAGAGGCTAAGAAAAAAGCTAACAAGGGAGAATTTTTTGTAAACGTTGGTGATTCTCTTGTTCAAATTGTTATAATTGTGTGGTGCAATATGACAGGAATCAAAAATACAACAAGAAAAATGATAACAAGCCATTTAAAAGACATAAATCAACTGAAAATATTGCAACTGATAATAATAATTCTTTAGCTTCAATTGAAGAATTACAAAATGAGATAACAAAATTAAAAAAAGAAATAGAAGCTCTTACAATGTATTCAATAAATGAAATGACAGGTAAATGATTTAGAATATAAATATATTGATGATAATAATAATAACAGATCATTTGATGAAAAAATATCATTACATATTTATATATATTTATATATATATTTATATATATATATATTTTTTTTTTTTCCTTTTTTTGTTGGAATTATTTATTTAATTTATATTTTATATTTTACATATTTAACATAATGATATATTGATTCAAAATTAATAACTTTATGTATACATCTTTAGATGCAGTTAATTTTTCAAGTATTTTCAATGACAAAATCAAAAGATTAACAACTGTTCTTGACAACTAAGGCTCTGAACGGTTCGGTTTAAACCAAAATTTTCGGTTTGGTTTTGATTTTTAAAAAACCAATTCGAAAATTTTCGGATAATAATCAAAAAAAAATAAAACATAAAAAAATAAATAATAATAATAATTAATAATTAATTCCTCTCCTTCAATTTTACCATTAGTTATTGATTTTTTCATGAATGAACTACATAACTCTCTTGATAATAATTCACCTGATAATAGTTCTCCTATTTATAGTAGTGAAGAATTTGAAGAGGTAAAGCTCTGAACGGTTTGGTTTCAGTTTGGTTCAGCTAGATCTTCATATTTATATTATGAAAAGTTCACTCTCTCTACAATGAATTTTCACCTTTGTTTGTTATAGAAGATGTTTGTTATACATGCAGAGCTAGTTAAACTGAAGTCAAAAAAAAATCTTCAGTTTTAAAAAACCTTAATAAAATCGGCTTATAGAGATGATTTTTAATAAGTAGATAAAAAAAAAATTGGTTTATCATGTGTATTTATTTTATCAAAGCATCATCTTGTTGAGTTCTGAATGTAGAGAAAAATTAATTATAAAAAAAGAATCAGGGAAGTCCATTATTATTATTATTATTATTATTATATGAATGGGTTTTCTCTGGGGGTACAGACTTAATTAATCAAAGGCGATGTAGTTTAGAGCCTAAAACAATAAGAATTTGTATGTGTTTAAAAAGCTGGTTGCGGCAATGAATTTGTTTTAATAAATAAATAATAATAATTTGTAAACAGATCTTCGTTACCATAGTCGAACCTCGTTATAATGAAGTGTAACCTAATTAAATACATGTTATAACAACTTTTAACATTTTTGAAATCCGTTATAACATGACTAATAAATTTGTTATTATTACTATTATTATTATTATTATTATAACAGATTTTTAAATGTCTAAAATCCTTTATAACTTCATGTATATAGAAACAGGATCCTTCCAGCATTTTTACTTCGCAACACACATTCAGCCACAAGTCATTATAAGTTATTATGTTATGTTTATTTTTGCATAGTTAATGAATTTAGGATACCTGAAATTTTTGGTTCAAATGTAAACCGAAAAACCAAACCAAACCGAACTGAACCGTTCAGAGCTTTATTGACAACTATCAATGTCATGAAAATAATGAGCCTATAAATGATCCTGATGAATTTATCAAAATGATTGGAACAAGAGATCCTGAATTAATTGGTTTTTTTGAGATGCTTTATCAAAGTATGAATCCTGTTTCAAAAAATCCAACAACATTATACAATTTAAAAAAAAAGGTAATGATACTTTGTTATCAAATGGCAGGTTTAAGAAACAAACAGGTAACTTCTGCAAAAAAAAAAATTGGTTTATATTTGTCTAGCTCAGGTACTTCAGCATCAACTATAGACACTTTATCAAATTTGGGATTTACAACTACATATAAAACTGTAATAAGAGAAAAAAAAAATATAGTAAAAAGTCATGAAGAAAGAAAGATTACTGGAATATTTAAGAAATAAGATATGATTGTAATAGATTAATATTTATTAATTTGAAATAATAAAAATAATAATAATTTTTTTATCTATCATTTTTGGCTAACCATGTTTCATCAATTGTATCTTTTGCGAATCTATTCAGTTTATTGTGATCATGCAATTGTTTATCGGGAGAAGAATCAGGTTGACCTGTTCCAAGATATCCTATCTCAATGCTCTTATTTTTTATTTCTGTAACCACCATATAATCTGGTCTGCATGCATTCTTATGAGATCACTTCCGTTCCACACTAGCAGAACTCGCCTGCTCCCCCCTTATATTAAAAAAAAAAAATCGTTAGAATGCCCTTGCTCATATAGTAAACAAAATACTAATCTCAAAATTATTAGCAAGATATTACCATACTCCCCATGTATCGGAATCTACAGGTAAATCGCTCATTACAATATTTATCAATGGTGATATAACCTCACATACGTATGATCCTTCATTTATAGCTGGTTTTTTAGAGTCTCCATATGAGTTCCATTTTGGGGATCTCCATACCCGAGCCAATGATTCTAACATTTGATTTGAGATTGATTGCAATTCCTTCGATCTATCCAAAAACTTGCCATATCTTGCATTACCAAAAGATTTAGGATTATTATCGGAGATAATTTTTTTTTCTTTTTCTTTCTGAACAAAATTCTCACAAGTATTCATTATCGCTTTATTAAACAGAATTGAGAATTTATCAGATAACATGTTAAAACGATTGCAAATATCTTTTGCCATTTTAGTGAAGGGGGTTGAACTAATATCTAATATTCCAGAGCATAGCAGATGATCATAGCCTAAATCTTCAACCTTTATTTCATTTAATTGTTCTTCTATATTTTTCCACATTATTTTTTCATCATTGATGATGATAAGACAAGCTAAATTCTTTATATTAGTGAATGGTATAAAAAAAAAAAACGATTTATGTTATAATAACTAACCATATGTACTTCATTTTTTAATATGCTGAAATTTTTAGATGTGTTTACGACCGAGGGTTCCTCAACGTTCTATAATTGCAAAATTTAATCGTTCATTATGGTTAATTTCTTAGAAATAGCAGTTACTTGAATAAAAACATACCAAAACTTTTAACTGTAATGATGAACGAATATATTCAAATGCATCCACTAATTGTAAAGCAGATATTGAAAAATTGATTAGTTGAATGTAAATATTTTTTTTGGTGTCTAATTACATATATGCAAGATCAGATTGGTTTTCTTTTTTCATATAAATTTCAAGAATAGCTGGCTATTAATAAGGCATAACCTTAGTAGAATCCACATATGGTGTTTTTATGTACATAAGTAGTTACTGCCCATGTCCTATACTATTTATTAATAGTACAAGGCGAGGTCCATTCACTGCCTAGTACCACCCTACGTGTTATCTACCTAGGTGGTAGGAAGCTATGAAAACACGTTACATTATATTTTATTATATCCTCTCAGATGTGTATTTCATCATTTTCCCACAAGAAAACCAATTATTTCATCATATCTGGTTTATTCTAATCTCTTATAAATTTTAGAAACTTACATGCTGATTTAATTCATCGCCGGTTCCAAACCAATGGAGCCTCTCTAATCTTTCATTATCATTTACATCTATAATATTTAATGAATGATTCAACGTCTTAATAAAATTTTCCCTCTCTTTATCACAATCTCCTGTCCATTCACCAGACTCTACCCATTTATAAAATGCAGTAAATATGTTTATAGCTGAAACTGGTGAAAAAGAAACTAAAAATGCTTCCATTTTCTTGATTGAAAAAAAAGATATGAATGCTGAGTTAATAGATTTTCAGATTAATAACAAAATTGCAAATAAAAAGCAATAAATATTTATAACTCGATATACTGTCTTTTTAAAACGTATTCCTTCCACATATTCCTCTAGATTTATCAAATGAAACAATTCAGAAATATAGAATGTGTTTACGCCAAAAAAAAATTCTCACAAAGAAAATAAATGTACATGAGGCAATTAATTGAATTAGGTTAATCACACAAATATACATGCATGCATATAAAAATAATTTCGTTGTACAGCCCCATTGATATCATGTAACATATTGATTAAATTATCTGATCGATTATGCGGATAGACTATCAATTTGAATTTCTTCTTTACGATTAGAAAAATATGAAAAAGGTGCTCAACTATTTTATACCTGCATTTAAGAAAGTCCCATAGAATATGCAGAGCATAGAGTCATTGACTCATATATTTTTTGCATAGGAAGGCTACTCACATAGCATGGATTTCCCTCTGATTTTTGCAAAATATGGTCAAGAATACATAGAAGATAAGTATATTTAAAAAGAGTTGTGAAGAATCAGGGTCAGTGATTGAATGAGAGGCTTCTAACTCACACATCTAAAAATTTCGCAAAGATCAAAATATATATGATAAAGCATGAGCTCAGGTTCACAGGCGCAGTAGGTGACACAGTAGGACCACCTACTTATCAAATTTAATAAATGCATTCACAATAATAACAGTTGTCATAATGGAAGTTTGGTTACCAGTGGAAGACTTACTAGTTTCTAATATTGGGCGCATCAAGAACAAAAAAGGTATAATTTTAAGACCAGGTGTTTGCAAGAGGTCTGGTTATGTACCAACAGTTTTTAGGATTAATGGTATATGTAAACATACCTGTGTTCATATTTTAGTTGCATGAACCTTTGTTCCTAATCCAGAAAATAAGCCTTACGTTAACCACATTAATGGAATCAAACATGATAATCAGGCTGTTAATTTGGAATGGGTAACTCCTAAAGAGAATGCTGAATGTAAGGTATTCCCAAACCATGGTCGTGGTAATTCTAGGTGGACCATACAGAAAGCATTAGATGAGGAAGTTATTCAGATTTGGAATTCTATTTGCCTCACTGGTAATACGCTTAAAATTGCAGAAAATAGCATTTCTGAATGTTGTAGTGGAAAGCGAAATACTGCCAGTGGCTGGTGTTGGATATATTATGAAAATTATATACCACAGGATCCTAATAATATAAATTACAAAAGTTCAAAGTTTCATCTCTAAGGAGAATTTGGTTAGCGAATGGTGCAATCACCCAAGGATCATTATACGAAGGATATTTTCGATTCAACCAATGTTATATTCACTGTTTGGTAGCATTAGCATTTTGTTCAAAAGAAGAAGGCAAAGATTGTGTAAATCATATTGATGGTAATCGTACCAACAATAAAGCATCCAATCTTGAATGGTGCACACAAAAGGAAAATTGGTCGTGGTAATTCTAGGTGGACCATACAGAAAGCATTAGATGAGGAAGTTATTCAGATTTGGAATTCTATTTGCCTCACTGGTAATACGCTTAAAATTGCAGAAAATAGCATTTCTGAATGTTGTAGTGGAAAGCGAAATACTGCCAGTGGCTGGTGTTGGATATATTATGAAAATTATATACCACAGGATCCTAATAATATAAATTACAAAAGTTCAAAGTTTCATCTCTAAGGAGAATTTGGTTAGCGAATGGTGCAATCACCCAAGGATCATTATACGAAGGATATTTTCGATTCAACCAATGTTATATTCACTGTTTGGTAGCATTAGCATTTTGTTCAAAAGAAGAAGGCAAAGATTGTGTAAATCATATTGATGGTAATCGTACCAACAATAAAGCATCCAATCTTGAATGGTGCACACAAAAGGAAAATACCCAACATGCCGTGTACCTTAAGCTTTGGGTCACTGTCGCAAACAGCAAAGATTGTGTAAATCATATTGATGGTAATCGTACCAACAATAAAGCATCCAATCTTGAATGGTGCACACAAAAGGAAAATACCCAACATGCCGTGTACCTTAAGCTTTGGGTCACTGTCGCAAACAGATTTGGAATTCTATTTGCCTCGCTGGTAATACGCTTAAAATTGCAGAAAATAGCATTTCGGAATGTTGTAGTGGAAAGCGAAATACCGCCGGTGGCTGGTGTTGGATATATTATGAAAATTATATACCACAGGACCCTAACGAAGAATGGAGAGAAATAGAATATAAATTACGAAAGTTCAAAGTTTCATCTCTAGGGAGAATTCGGTTAACGAATGGTGCAATCACCCAAGGATCATTATACAAAGGATATTTTTGATTCAACCAATGTTATATTCACCACTTGGTAGCATTAGCGTTTTGTTCAAAAGAAGAAGGCAAAGATTGTGTAAATCATATTGATGGTAATCGTACCAACAATAAAGCATCCAATCTTGAATGGTGCACACAAAAGGAAAATACCCAACATGCCGTGTACCTTAAGCTTTGGGTCACTGTCGCAAACATGCCATCAAGCAGATTTTCGATGATGGATCTTTCCGAGAATTTCCATCCTTAGCTGAAGCACAACGCATGACTGGAATTAAAAGTCAAAATATTGGACTAGTATGTCGAGGACTTCAAGCTCATGCTGGAGGATATCGTTGGGAGTATGTAAGCACAATATCGCATAATAATCATGATTTTTCACAGTAACTTAGACCCGGATATTGCACGAAATTTATTTTTATTTGTAACACTTCACAAATCAAATGAGACATAACTTGTCTGTGATATATGTACGATATTTGCGGGAAATTGTGGAAATTATTAGTTAAGATGTGAGAAATACCATCTTCGCAGTCAAGTATCTCAAAGCTAAAGCAAAACACTATGATACCGATCTTTGAATCGTGACCACCGGAATAGCTAAGCTAGACCTACTTACAGATTATTTCAGAGGAAGGCATTCCGTAGTTAACTCTGTAGGAAATTGAATAAAACTTTACGGTTAAAAGTTAAAACTGGCCGCGGTATAAAAAAACGGTACGATCATTTGTCATATAATAAATTTCATTTTGTCAAAGGATTAGAATAAAAATCGAGCCATTTTATTATCTCAAATTGCAAATTAACTAACTAAATCACATGAATAAAAAATTACATTATTTTCGAAATGGGAATCTCACATCATGTGTGTGATCAGAATAAAGAGATACTAGTCAAACACGGATAACACAAAAAAAGAAGCTCATTTAATATTTATGCAAACATTGACATTAAACCAGAGGGTTCATGATTTTCGTAATCATCACTAAAAGCTGATATGTACTGTTGTATAATGGGTTTCTCATCCATACGAACCAATTTTTCAAGCATCTTTAATTCCCACCTCATTTTCATACGAAATAATTCATCTTCTGTCATATCCGGAATCATATCCAACATTCTCTCATCACAAAATATAACAGCTTCTCTGAACTTCGCCTTTTTTGATAATGGTCCTTCAATATTTATAATTTTTTCTGAACTCTCTCTCTTATTCATTCCTATAATGTTATCTAATTTGCTTCCCTGTTCTAAAACAAAATGTTTGATTATACTTAATGCCTTGCCACGGTCATCAATTACTGCAGTTACAATGTAATATTGCTCGACTGGATTTTCAACTTTGGTTATGAAAAAGATAGTCCACTTTTCGTTGCAATCTGTCAATACAATCAATACATCTAACGCAACGTTTGCATTTGCGATAAGTAATTCTCCTTTAGCTTGAGATTCTTCTAAAATTAATAATCCTTGGAGTGACTTCTTTGTTTCTACATAGACGCATCCTGTTAGACTTGGGCCAATGCAAATATCAGTTCCACACTGTAATATAGTACGAGCTTTATCTAATGTTACTTCTTTTTTTGTAGATTTATGAACATCTTCGACGAAATAATATTCTCCTAATTTTAATATATTTTCAAACCAGTTTTTGACATCCTGCATTTGTTTGTCTTCATCTTTGTCCATATCCCAATTAAATCCATCGCACTCTATAGTTGAAGAATCTGGGAAATCTCTGGCACTAAGCTTTATATAGAAAAAAAGATGAAATGAGAAGGAACTCGTATTAGGAAATCACTGCTTTAGTAGGCATTTTTATACATACTCGCACGTTATCAATACCCATAGTTTTCTCAATTTTGCTCATCTTGGTACCGCTCAGCTTTGATACACTTATCACTTCAAATGGTTTTTCTTTCATTGCTTTATTCACTGCATTCTCTACAATCTCCTGCAAACTCCTATGATCTATAAAAAAGAGAAATATAAGATTAAGTAAAGCGCTATTAATTGATACTCTGGCATCAGAATAGAACCTTACCTTGTGTTTGATACGTTTGATCTCCAATATAAGAAGTGAAATCAAGAGACAATATTGCATTTATAGTTGTCAGATGTAAAATTGTTATGGAAACAAGTAAATTTTGCGATACTAAGTATTCCTACCGTGATATTTTTTTTACACTTCTAAGTTTTTATTATGATAAATTATTAGATCATTATTTACCTTTTTCGCCTTTAAGAGTATCAATCAAATATGCGATTGATTCTGCTGGTCCTCGAAGTAAGCCATCATGCATAAGTTTTGCTTCGTTTAAACGTAGGAATCCTTGACCGGTGACTCTATTCTTTCTGATCACTTCAATATCCTCCTCCTTAAGGCGAAGCTCTTTTTTCTTCTCTTGCAAAAAATTTATAACATCTTCTTCCTCCCACTTTTTGATTTCTTCAATGCTTGGAGTTGTTGAAGTAACCTCTCTGTCTTTCGTAGATGAGACAACACCGGCGTGCTCAATACCCTCCATAGAAGCTATTATATCAATAAAAATGGGTTACTTCTTTACATCTTTACAAAGAATCTTCGCAATACGCCACTTTACCTGTAGATGGTTCTCTTGGGAAAGTCGATGTTTTTTTCTCGGATTTTCCTTCAACTTTCGAAGATGTACCAACATTGATAGTTTGAACATCCTTGGGAGCTATTTTTGTCAAGAGCAATGAGTGGGATATCTAACAAAACTGCTCGTATACATTTACTTACCCGTTGGAGTTTTTTTCTTTTTTGTCATTTTAAGAGCACAGAATGATATAAATGGGTCAATCAGGTCAGGTCACAATTAAATTTTATTACACAAGTGGATATACATAGACGCAGTAACTGTCATCAAGATCCTTCCAAAACTTTGACTATAACGCAATCGATATCATCTGTAGTTAATCTCGATATGGATGACGCTGTAAAAGTTCTGACTTGGTTTATTTTTTCTCTACCAATGGCATCAAAAAGTTTATAGATTTTTCGAGCTTTTTTGGTTCTTTTATGAAGAGCTTCCTTTGTAATTGTTGTAGGGATTTGACTATGAAGTTCTCTATTAAGTATAGCACTAGACGCACTTCCACTATTATTTTTTTTAAGTTCTGTGCGCCGTTTTTTTAAAGCTTCACCGAAATCAAAATAAGTATTGATAACCTCTCTATTCGTAACTTCATTTCTAGATTCGGCACGGTCAATTTTGCTAAATAAATATAAAAAACGGTTGTATTTTCTGAGGGGGTACTCTCTTCTATAATTCCGGTAACTTGTGGAGAGTTTTCAGTGGATGATAATTCATTGATAAGTTTTTTCAGATTTGATGAATCTTCTCTTTTAACCGCTTTCGTTTTTTTATTAGAGGGTTTATCAGCAGACGTAGTATCTCTAACATGCTTGGATGATAAAATACTTGTAGTCGATGTTTCAGGTATATCAGTTTCCATGTTTTGCGATTGATTATCATTGGAGTCCTCTTCTGCAATTGTGTCTAGAAAAGATGAATCATTCTCTAAAAAGTCATTGTTGAAGACTGATGGATCACATGTGCTATTGTTGCTTGGATTGCACTATATGCCTCATCACGCGTAAACTTTTTCTTAGACATACACATACGAAGTAAATCACCCCATATGAAATGATCATTTGAGTCTGAAATTCTGGATTGTTCTATTTTTTCCGGTATTGGAAGAGTTTTTTCTTGATCCTCAACTGTTTCATTAATTACAAGTTTTAATGATGGTTTTTTTACACCTGAAGGAGTTTCTTGATCTGCACGATAACAATGATAACGATAAGTTTTTTTATTTCGAACTATATATGCATTATCACCACTATGTTCTCGTTTACATAACGGACAATTAGAAGCTGATTTACGTCTTAAAGTAAATATATTTGGATGAGTGGGCCCTGGATATAAAACTTCAAAACCATCGATATTTTGTAAATCGAGTAGTTTTTTCACGTATTCCAATTCAGCTCCAAAACCACCGGAATCACTTTCATTAGTTTTCATTGTCTTTTCTTCTGGAACATCTAAAATCGGACTATCCACAATTGGTGAATGAGGAGGACGAATCATAAAATTAAAAACGTATTCATCTTTTGGGTAGAGAGCTTTCTTTACTCATACATGTTCTTTAGTTTCTTCAATGAATTTTGGTGTTCCAAGAATCCGTAAAGAGAATGATTTTTTATTTGCAATGTTATCGATAATATTCTTATTCTGTAAACCTATTGGAAGCTTTTTTTGTACAAGTTCAGTAAATTTTGCAACTTTGGAAATATTTTTGAGTCGGAGACCGAAAGTCGAAATATGTAGTGATATTTTTTTCGAATCGCTACTACTGGCAATAGTCAAAGTGTTTATATCCCAATCTGGATATATCTCTACGCAAACTTCTTTAAAGGTACGGCAAAGTAATTTTAGGTTCTATTTTATTGAGACATTCAATAGGTAAATCAAAATCGATAAAAGGACAGAGTGGATCATCTCCATCAATATACTCATGTAAGGAATGTCCATTACGATCTTCGAGTATAGATTCTATTCCATCCTCATTATCTGTTCCGAGAAATTCTCTTGGTCTTACACTATCGTCACGAATTTTATAATTATATTCTTTAACGCTCTCAGCGTTGTGTCCACGGTGAAAGAAGGTGCTGTTAACACCCTCGAAGGGGGATTCAGGGGCTTCAGAGGTTTCAGAAGATTCAATGGCAGAATTGGCTGTGCTAGCTTCGCTATTTTCACTATATATTGACATCTTTATTCTGGCAGTATAATATTCGCAATAAAATAATTCAAAATGAAAATTAATTCCGGAGAATATAAATAAACAAATTTTAATTATCATATTGTATACATATGGCATTTTTCCGTTGCTCCTATATTCTTAGAACTGGTAAGGAATGTAACCGGAGATGTTACCGCCCAGAAGGCTGTAAAGTTCATTGGGATTCTCCACCACGTGTTCCTTGCGGAGAGTGTAGCAAGTTAACTAATTCTGATTATGGTTTTTGCGATACTCATGCTAAAAAACACCGAAGCAAGGCAAGATACTATCGGAAAAAGTCTGAAAAGCTCGCCCAGGAGTCATCTGAAGTGGAAGGGGGAGGGGGGCAAATTATAGTTGAGGAAATTCCGGCATATAAATA